CTACAGATCACGTGATGCCTATCTCAGCTAATCACCAGCATCCAACCAACCCTTACCTTTCTCTCACAAGCCAACTTGGTGTGCCAGGTGAAATAATAACTACAGTCATCTGTCTCAGCAACAAACACAGGCTTGCCGAGATCATTCGTCATCTTGGGATCACAAACGAACGAAATCAACGTCTGTCGATGTGTGTTGGAGTGGAAACATAAATCCCCTCCACTGTAGTTCAGGGTCAACACACCATCGTTGTAAGACAGACGCTTGTTGAAGTTTCCGGCGTTGTTGTGTACGTTTTTACTTCCGTAGGACAGCTGACACGAGCCGGAACTTGCGCCGCAGGGTTTAGCTAAAGAAACCATGAAAAGAATAAAGATAAAAGTCATAAAAATATTCGACTTTGCTTAGAGAGGTTCACACGTGACAGCCGCAACCAAGGGAGCACGAAGGCAGAAAAAAACATTGGTCTTCCTGTGGTACTGACGAATACGGTTTTCCGCGAAAAATAAGGTGGACTTAGTAAATATCAAAGATGGCGGCGTACATAAAATAGACCAATATTGATATCATCCGCCATGTTTGTTTACTTATGAGCCCGTACGACTTTTAAGAAAAACAGGCCGTTGCACAACTATTATTTCCCTTCGCGGTTCCCTGCGTCATCTTGAAAGGTAAGTTTGCCTGTGCATCGAAGCTGGAACCCTTGTGGCCTCGCAATGATAGAAACGTGAATAATTGTCCAAGGTATTGAAAATATGTCTATCATTACAAGCTCAACGTTCGTCTCACTTCAGGCACAGTTACATTTCAAGATGGTGCAGGGAACTGTGAAGGGGACTTTATGGCAACCTGGTGGTGGGACACTGCAGGCAACAGTCGAGGATCTCAAGAGGTCCCAGGGACATGGGTTAAAAGTCACTGGGAATCCTGCCGGGCAGGTAAAATACAATGAAAAAATCTTAAAAGGGAGGAGAATATCTTTCCTAGCTTGATCACTATCTGCAGGAAAACATGCACTACAAGGACTTATTGCATGTCAATTAATACATACCTCTATTGTCGTTCAAAACCTTGCAAACGCTTAAGAGATAATAATATCCTCTTTCATCTTTGACCTCTATGCCATTACTTGATAAAGGGTTTAGGTCAAATTTGTATTTGGTCTGAGGGTGGACAGCAGTGCAGTCGTTTGTTATGTTGACGCTTGCTGTGTTGATGGCACAGGCGTACTTCGTAACCCAGACAAACTCGTATAAACAGGTTTTGGAGTATTCATTGATGAGTTGTGGAGATGACTGTGGGAGAAAGAGAAGGATTTAGTGGTAAGGTGTGGGGAAGGAAATGGAAGGGAAGGAAGGGAAGGGAAACGAAGCAGAGATAGAGAGATAGTGAATGGAAAAGGGAAGGAGAGGGAGGAAGGTTGGTAGGGAGGGAGAGAGATGGTAGGGAGGGAGGGAGACAAAGAAACAAAGAAACTGAATACAAAGAAACGGGAAAATAAAGAAACGATGAATTAAGGGAACAGAGAAAAAGAAAGGAAGGAAGGAAGGAAGGAAGGAAGGAAGGAAGGAAGGAAGAAAGGGGGAAATGAAAAAAGCCCCTTCCACTTGGCCCCGTGATCTGCAGTACCTCGGTCGACGAACCACATTGCATCAGTATCTTAGCAGATGACTGGATCGTTTTGTCAGCACTTGTCGTGCAGAGGTCTCCACCTTTGTACCAAAGGTAGATATTATTGTTTTCTACAACTGGACCACTTCTAAGCGATCCAAGACTTGTATAACTGAAAAAAAGAATTTAATAAAATTTGCTGTTGTTCCTGCTGCTGATGAGATGAGAATGAACGTTGGTTGTGGTGATGATAATGAGATTTTTTTACAATAACTTATAAATTTCTGGCGCGCTGATTGGCTATTTTTTATCATCAGTAAGAAGACACACAGATAAAACGGACGTCAACGAGCGCGCGCTCTTTCCGTTGGTTGTTTTGATCAGTAAAAATAAGAAGGTTTTTTTTTTTTGTTATTGTAAAAACGAATTGACATCAGATTTTTATGTGTGATATTGATGATGACGATGCATGTACAGTATGCATGATGACGGTGAATGATGGTGTTGATGATGATGCATAATGTATGCATGGTGACGGTACATTA